GTTCATCGAGCAGTCGACGGCGATGCTGTGTGCGAGCTTGCCCAGTCTGCGTCTGCTGCTCGTCAGCGTCTGGCCCCGTCGTCGGTCTACGGCGTCGGAGAGCTTCTTCAGCAAGGACAGTCCGAAAAGGTGGACTCGGTCTGTTGACAGACTGAGGCGACACAAGACGCAGATACGCAGACACAGCGGCCCCGGACCGCAGCATACGGGCGACGGCGTGCTTGTGACGACCACAGTGGAGGTCGATCGGCAGTCCTACGTGGCTCTCGACGTGCCGCCCTTCCCACCGCCTGCCTATTCTGGACGTGGCAACAACACATAACAGCAAGTCATGGGAGAAGGGATAATTGAACAGTATCTTTCATGGATCTATGATGAGCTATGATGAGCTATGATGATCCATGATGAAGGGTTATTGCTGGGGCATGTTGCTGCAAGTTATCCGTGGAAGGAAAGCGACGCGAAGTCGAAGCACGTGGAAACATTGCCATCATTAGGCGTTGGCGTTTGACCGGTGTCTGGCTACTTGAAGGCGGCGCAAGTCATGAGATAGGTCACACAGCGACGAGTTTAGGACATGAATCAAGTGTGGTATTTCTTTGTAGAGCTGGGAACCATCGTGCATGTTCCGAAAGTTACATTGAAAAGGCTGCCAATACTCCAGCTGCCGTTTTCGAGGTCGTATTACCGCCGAGGTCTCATGTTGTGATGATGTTTTCTTCGTGCAAACCTCTAGGCCTTTTGGTGGGCGGTGCTTCCGATGGGTAAAGAGATCTCCGTAGCTTTCTGGTGCAGTGAACACCTGGATTTCGCCCGTCTCTCTTTCGATTACGTAAAGCTGCAGCCCCACTTCCCTGCTCGTGAGTAGTTCGCCAGGCGGTCTCTTTACCACAATTCAATTCTGGCACCAAACCAGCGACAGACGGCAAATTAACGGAATGGGGAGTTGAAGACGACCCAATGCTAGCGACTGTCAGTGCTCCTCGGGCGCCATGAGAACGTACCTTGCATGCTGTGTGATGGGATGAATGGTGATTGACGAACTCCAAAGCCCGCCATGTTCCGCGGCAATGCGGGTGGAGCCCGTCCTGCGTTGCGCCTAGCCGGTCCAGATGCTTGGAGCCGCAGCCGATTTTGGCCTTTCGGTTCGTCTACCGGTACGACGGAGGCCGTTCTTTCTGAGTGCCGTCAGTAGGGGAAGTCGAATGGGCCCCTGCAGCTTTGTGGGAGACAAGCCCGCCGAGGCCCGGTCTCGGTCCCGGGAAGGGGGTGGGTTTCTTTAGCACACATCCGATAACAGCGTAGAAGCAACAATCGACCACTGGCTGCGGCGTAGCCCGCGAGCCCCCTGTACAATGACGGTCAGAATCGGCTTTCCGCCCTAGATGGCCCCGATTCTCTCGTCTGACGTAAGGATAGGTCTTTGGCGACGAGATACACACTTGGATCCCACCGCCGACGGAACAGGACGAAGCGCTGTGCAGCGGTGCAGATCCGTAGCAGCTCGTGGTTTCTTGCTAATGGATCTCTGACAGCACCCGATTCGCAGTAGGCGCACGGCGAAGAAAGTGCGTCCATCTTTTGGGGGGAATTCATTTCTGGCGCTGGATGCCATGTCACCGACGACTGGGAGAATGCAAATGGGAAAAGCAACAAGCCATGGCTTACGGATAAGAGCGCGAAATGAGAGCGTTTGTCGAATGAGTGGATTCGTCGGATTCACTGGCGCTCACGCGTATAGCTGAACGCCTCGACTGTTTGATCTGAATGCAGGGCTTGCCCATCGTCAAGCAGCAAACAACTCGATCCGATGGACCCTGTTCGCACGTCCCCCCTTCCTTCCGAGTGTATGTCTCCTCGACCCCCTCAACCACCACACAACCGCATATCTCACGAGGACGAGAGCGCAGGCCAGAGTGGCGAGCAATCCCAGCCGCAACCAGTGCCAGCACAACATGGCACGCCACACCACAGCTTCAGCCTGGACCCGGCCTTCCCACGCCTGACCGAGACAGCCGTCGAATCATCGCCGTCCGCTGACAGGCGGTTGGACGAAGGCGAGCAGAAGATGACGTACGCGCAACTCATCTACATCGCACTTCACAGCACAGAAAAAAAGGCGATGGGGCTAGGCGAACTCTACCACTGGTTTGAGCAAAACACCAGGAGAGCCAACAAGGGAGGCGAAGGATGGAAAAACAGCGTTCGTTCGAACCTGAGCGTAAACAAGGTACGCTAGCGAGTTGCGCCAGCGTTGTGACGGTCTAGTCTTTCCTGCTAAGTAGTAATCTGTGTTGCACAGGCTTTCGAACGAGTGGAACGACAAGGCTCCCTCTGGCAGCTCACGGAGGCAGGGTTGACGGAATTCCAACCAACGCGTAAACCCCGAACGGATCGCCGGGCGAGTCGCAGGATAAAGGCAGAGGGGTCATATAAATGGAAGATCAGCGTCGCATTACCTTCTCCGTCTTGCGCGTCCACTTTGCAGGATCACTCGAAGGAAAACGTGTCCGGAAGTGATTGCGGCGACGATGGGTTTTGGTCATTTGACGGCGGCTTCACGTCGCCCGAGAGCAGCCAGCCTGAAAGCGGAACCTCTACCGATTATCCCACGCCGACACCGATTACTTCGACGCAAGATGGCTTGGAGCACATGCATGATCCGCTATGGGCTTGGAACCTGGATAGTGGGCGCTACCTCCACTGGCCCTACTGCAGCTGCCTCTGTGGCCGACAACAATTTTGTTGGACAGACGTGAATGACATATTGCCATTTTGCGCCCCGACAGCGTTTGCTCCTATGTTGACGAGCATGGGCGTGGGTTCCAGTCCGCCGTCGGAAACGTCCGTGCAATGGGAGATCTGATGGTTGAATCTGGTCTTGGCAAACTAGAAGTACGTTATAGCACTGGGGGGCATAGAGGAGCCACTGTCCGAATGGCGCAGAGATAGAAATACAGACAGCGGATAAGAAATGTGCTGTCATGCCAGAGAATGCATGCGCCAATTCGATCTTCCCGCTCTTGATGTGCGTTGGAAAGCTCACTTGCGAAGCCGGAAGGACCTACGCTTGACTTTGAATGAAGGAAGATTCCGACGCAAATGGCTGCAGAGCATTGGCGATTGGATCGCAGACGATTATAGATTCATCCAGGTCATCGGGCTCAAGTCCCGTCCACCCAGCCTATTTTGGCTTCCGAGTTGCCTTCTGTACTGCCTATAAGACAGACACGCGCCTCGTCTGCCCAGTGTAGCTGTCCCTGATCCAGTGCGCAACATGTCCCGTTGTAAACACACTGGCTGGCTGCGCGTGGCCACCAAAGACCAGGCGTACGTCGTCGAAGGCTCGGGTCGTGCCCAGAGACTGCTGGACGGTCTACCACGCCCGGATGGCCAATACCCGAGTATTCTCGTGCTGATTGGAAACGCGACCAAGCGGGTTGCCCTGCAAAGACTCGGTGTGTACATCACTGCGCCCAACACGGCCCGGGGCCACGGCGAGATCCATCTTAACCTGGCTCCTGTCGGCGCGTCCGGCGCAAGGCCGACGCTGATTGCCGATGCCGACGTTCCGCCCCATAAGCGGCTCGGGAGGCCGAGGAAATCCACGCTCTGCCATGAAGTCGTAGCAAGGCCACTGTCGATCCCTCACGGCGGGAACATCTCCACGATGCCGTCCGCGATGCCGTCAGCGATGCCGTCTGCGATGTCGCCCACGACCTTAGAAGCTAGCGATCATGTCTATAATCGCATGCTTCTCCCGTTTGCTGATGCCGTGTGTTTCTTTGCCGACGATATCGGCGGCGTAGAGGTCGTCGCCCAGCGTCTTGCGTCGTGGCTGAACCTGAGTACGCCGTCCACATCGTCGGTGCGGCCCTGGTTAGTGGTCGTCGTGAACGGCGACGGAGAGGATTCCGCACGCAGTCGCCTGCTACAGTCAATCCGCGAGAGGACAAACGCCCACGTGTCCGAACGATTCCACGGCGTCCGCGTCATCAGCCTGGCCGACAAGACACCCAAGTCTCTCCGACGCCGCCTTGATTCCCTGCGTTGGGACATACTCAGCAACGAGCTGTCCTACATGACGGAGACAAAACGGGTCGAGCGCGTGCTCGCCAGCTGCCTCTTCTCGGCCACCCACCTCGCCGGCCTTCTCCGCCACGCCACAGAGCACGTCGGCGCCGCCGACGCGCCGCCCCTCGACTTCCTCGCCGTCTCCCGGCTCGACAACCCGGTGGCGGCCGATCTGTCGGCGCACCTCGCAGGGTTCCTCACGCACTGCGACTCCGTCGACAACCTGAAGAGATTCGCCGTGCCGGTCATCGCCTCCAGCTTCATACTGGACCAGTACCCTCCGGGCATGCACCGTACGTTCGCGGGCATGCGTAACCTTTGGTCCTCACTGACGGCCCGTAGTCTTCGATCCGCGCGACGTCTTCCAGATGTTCTACAAGGACGTGTGCCACAACGTGTGCGGTACCGCCGTCCTCGCGCACGAAGGGTCCACCGACTTCCTCCTGCCGTCTCAGTTCGCCAAGATGGTCGAGGCCCAGATGGCCCGTATATTCCGGCAGCTGACGGCGGGCCAAGCCTCAGCGTCGCTGCATCGACAGCTTGTCGCCGCCTTCGCGGAGGACTGGGTCCAGCTTCGGTCCAACAGCACATGCTACCTTTGTCTGCGGCGCGCCCCGCAGGTCTTTCCCGCGTGCGGCCACGGTCACTGTCTAAACTGTGTCGAGGTATTTGGCGTCGCAAGCGCGGCCGACCCGTGGCTCATCGAAGTGGCCGAGTGCATCCTCTGCGGACAAAACGTTGACATGCAGATACGTGTGAAGCCGGACACCGCGTCGGTGCGGGTCTTGTGTATCGACGGCGGCGGGACGCGGGGCAAGTACCCCCTCAAGGTATTGAAGCAGCTCGAAGACGACATTGGGCTGCCCGGCCATCCGGTACAGCAGAACTTTGACGTCGTCTTCGGGACGAGCTCAGGTACGTCGCGGGATGCTGTCGTTGTTGCAGTGCAGATGGGGGCGACTCTCCTGGCTGACCGATCGCGACAGGTGCCATCAGCGCCGGCGCCCTCTGCATCAACGGGTGGACGGTGGATGAGTGCATCGCCCGCTTCGAGTCCCTTTCGAACGATGCGTTCACGCCTCGCCGGGTTCCGTCTGTT